TATTTCCGACGGATTTTTTTTTCCGACGTCACAAATTCATTGGAAAAAGCAAAATCCGTCAGAAATTTACCTATTTCCGTCAGAAATTTCCGTCGAAAATTAGCATTTTTCTTGTAGTGAAATTGCAACATCATTGTTTAATAATATTTACATCTCACAACATTAGCAAGAGACTTATTCACTAATTATCAATAATTTCCATTTTTTATATTAAAAATTTCTTATTTAATATTTCATATATATATTAAACGCTAAACCCTAAACTCAAATAAATATTAATCATCTATAGCCATTCAAGATTTAATCACTTTTATTATTTAATTACAATTTTTATTTTATTTTAAAAATTTTATATATAAAAGCTCAAAATCTTTCAACTCCACTAATGTTAACAACATATTTTTTTTCTTCCGATTTATGACATTTTGAATTTATCTATTATTTTATTTCTTTCGAGATGAAAGTATAAATAAAATAACGATAAATATTTTTTAATTACAATAAGCAGGCAAATTTAAACATAACTAAGACATGAGAATAAACTTAATCATGAAAGCAAATATAAACTTTTACACTTAAAATTTACGAGATGAACTCTTTTCTGAAAATCACATTAAATCTAAATTATTATAGTGTTTTTTAATTTTTTATTATAACTAAAATAGCTTTTTTTTCATTCTTCTTTTAAGACGTGTTTGGTTATTAAATGTTATATTTTATCCAACAAAAAGTGAGAATAAAATATATACCTATTATATATAAAGTAGATATATAAGTTTATAACCGATTTTTTCTCTCAAGTTTTTTAAACAATTTTATTCTTAATTTTTTAAATAATAAAAATTAATATTAAAAATTAACTACTCATGTAACTACTCAAATAACTTAATTATGTTTTAATCATTCAAATTTTTAAATATCTTTATTATTTAATAATTATTTTATTTTATTTTATAAAGAAAATAGAACTGTGGACATGTTGATGAAGAATGACAATGAATTGTATAAAGAAAATCAACTTCTCTCTTAGAATAAAAAAGATATTAGAGTAATAAGATAAGATAAAAGATAAAATAAGATAAGATATATCATATCTTGATAATTATTATATTTTATTCTATCTTATCATATCATATATTGTTGGTGTAACAAATAGTAAATTTTAACATATCAAGACTATCATATATTCATATATTTTTGCTCATCTTTTTTAGAAAGTTAGGTCTTTTCTTATTTTAAATAAACATTTCAATTTTATTAGTTCTCACATTTTCTTATTAACCTTACACATTTGAGAGTTTAGGATTTAGGATTTCTCTATGATATGCAGGTGGTTCACGAAAATTTGTTGAAATTGGGATACATATTAGTTATCCATTATTTTATATCTTCTTTTAAAGTTAGTAATGATTTTGTTCATTATCCGAGACAGAAAAAAGCATTTTCTACCATGAAAATTGTGAAGATTGTGTTTAATAACATTGACAATGAACATCATTCAATGCTTTCAAAACACAAGATCACACAAAGGACAATTATAAGACATAATTTATTTAATAATATATTATATTTTTTTGATTTTAACATTTATAGTTTACTTCTTGTATGTGTGATGATGATAATTAGTTTTTAAAAAAATTCCTCCCACTGGCTATAGGTTTTTGATCTCCCATCAACAATAATGATGGTGTTGGTGAAGCAATGAAAGTGGTTGTGACAATGATGATAAAGATAATTATGATAATGAAGGTACATGATAATTTTGTTTATGACCTTTTAATTTGAGTTATTCATTTTATCCTAAAGGATATCTATAACAATATATAAAATCAATTCATTATTTTTTGCATGTACAAATTTTAAGACATTTTTAATCTTTATTTATTATAATAATTATACAAATTTTTTAGTGGAAGATAGTACATGATAATTTACTTTATTAATTTAAATAAAAAGTAATTATTTTTCAAAAATAAATTGCAACATCTTTATAGCATTTACATTCAACAACATTAGCAAGACACTTATTCACTAATTAGTAATTATCAATAGTTTCCAATTTTTATATTAAAAAATTCTTATTTAATGTTTCATATATATATTTATATCTATATATAAAGTGGTTGCATGAGTTTATCACTCTTTTTTAATCTCTAAATATTTTAGACATTTTACCCATAAATTTTTAAATAATAAAAAATATTCATGTAACCACTCAAATAAATTAATCATGTCTAGCCATTCAAATTTTAATCACTTTTATTATTTAATCCCAATTTTTATTTTATTTTAAAATTTTCAACTATAAAAGCGCGAAATCTTTTAACTTCACTAATTTTAATAACATATTTTTTCCTTCCCATTTATGACATTTTGAATTTATCTATTATTTTATTTCTTTTGAGATAAAAGTATTGTGACACTCTCTACCCCATCATTAATTCACAATAAATGTAAACAAAATATTTTTTTTCTTTTTGAGTAAATAAAGTCTTTCATAGTCAACAACCTCTTTCATGGATAAAATAATTGTCTCAAATATTATAAGGTAGAAGATTCACATTTGTAACTCATAAATCATAGAAAGTCATAATGTAAGTATCAAAACTCAAGAAATCATATAAAGAAAAATATAAATTTCAGCAAAAGTGGCAGTGCCTCCTAGTTAGGAATTAATTTATAACTTTCAAATCATGTAATAAAATAATATAATAAAGATGTACACTTCGGTCTTTTATCAAGAACGTTCAAAATTACAAAAGAAAAGAAAAGAAAAGAAAAGACTATTAAAACAATAATATCCCAAACTAAGACTAGCTATGCCCGATGTCACATCCTATCAGAGCACGCCCAACTGAAGCCTTAAACCTCATCACCAACATCCTCATGATGATGATCATCTGCAACATAATTTAAACATATACAAAAATAACAAGGGAGTGAGAAACATCTCACTCAGTTTCAGGTGCAGAAATAAAGGTTAGATAGCACACACACGCACAATAAATATAAGTCACATGTAAACAATACACATAAATAATCAATATCACATATATATTCATTTATCATGCTATGATATCATGTATTCGACTCATAAATGCATGCATGTGGCGCCATAAGGAAGTTTTACATATCATCACTGGTGACCCTAAGGCACACCTGGTTACATCACTGGTAACCCCAAGGTACACCTGGTTACATCACTGGTGACCCTAAGGTACACCTTGTTAGCATGTTACATCACTGGTGACCCTAAGGTACACCTTGTTATCAAGTTACATCACTGGTATGCGGCCGCAGCAGCACACCTGGAATAATATATGCATATGATGCATGTCATACATTCATTATTTCATTAACTCAACATTTGACTTATTACAAAATTTCATTAATTACATCAGGTCATCCTTTTTCATTTTCTCATAATCATAACTTGTCTCAATAGTCCATTCCCAGGCCTCATGTCATTTGTCCATATTTCACATGGTCATGTCATAAATACTCCTCATAAGGTTCGCACAGGAATTCACAGAGAGCATCTTTATTAATATTAAAACTTATTTATTTTTAACATTAATTCCATATTCATTTATTACTTTCAAGGAACAAAGTAACAAGGAAGTAACAAAGAACAAAGTAACAAGGAACAAAGTAGACCAAACAGAAAAACAGAACAACAGGCAAGGGATTGGGGGCCAATCCGACAATCAAACTATCTAACAATTATCCTCACACCCCCGAGCGAGGTTTCTCACTCCCCCCCTTTACCTGGATAAGCAGGAGTTGAAACTTGGGCAGGGCCTCCGCCTCTAGATTCCCTCTTTCTTTCCCTTTCTTTCTCTCTCTTTCTTTCTCTTTCTCTCTTTCTCTCTTTCTCTCTCTCTCTCCTTCTCTTTCTCTCTCCTTCTCTTTCTCTCTCTAAAATTTTCACTTCTTACTCAGTTATAAAATTTTCACCCCCCTGCCCCTATTTATAGGCATCCTGGCGCACCCGGAACGGCCCGTACTGAATTCGGAACGGCCCGTTCCAGAGTCTTCAAATATACGTAAAATTTTAAACTGGAACGGCTTGTTCCAAAATCGGAACGGCCCGTTTCCAAAAAGCAGAACGACCCGTTCTAAAATTAGAACGGCCCGTTCTGAGGTTCGTGTTACCACTGATTGACCATAAGCAGAACTGCCCGTTTCTAACTTAACTTTTTAGGCGTTTTAAGAAATCCGGAACGGCCCATTTCCCTTTGGGAACGGCCCGTTCTGGGAAACCCAAAAATGTGCCTTTTACAAATTTGGAACGGCCCATTCCACTTTTGAAACGGCCCGTTCCAATTTTGGAACAGCCCGTTCCAGCGTAAAAAAATAGAATTTTACAAATTTTTTTTCACAAATAATTACAATTATTAAAAATCCTTATAATATTTTATAAAAACTCCTTTTAATTAACTAAAATAAATATATGAAAATAAATAATAATCAACATTGTATGAATAGAAAATTCGGGTGTTACAAGTATAAATAAAATATAATAAACGGCTGTAAATATTTTTAGTTACAATAAGCAGGCAAATTTAAACATAACTAAAACATGAGAATAAACTTTTTCATGAAAGAAAATACTAAATTTTACGCTTAAAATTTATGAGATGAACACTCACATTAAATCTAAATTATTATAGTATTTTTTAAATTTTTTTATTATAACTAAAATATTTTTTTTTTCATTCTTTTTTGAAGACTTGTTTAATTATTAAATGTTATATTTTATCCAACAAAAAGTGAGAATAAAATCTATACTTATTATATATAAAGTAGATATATGAGTTTATAACCATTTTTTTCCCAAATTTTTTAAACAATTTTACCCTTAATTTTTTAAAGAATAAATATTAATATTAAAAATTAACTACTCATGTAACCACTCAAATAACCTAATTAATTTTAAACATTCAAATTATTTAACAACTATTTTATTTTATAAAGAAAATAGAACTGTGGCAAATTGATGAAGAATGACAATGAATTGTATAATGAAAATCAAGAATGACAACGAATACGAGAAAGAATTACAAGTTTCTGCAATAACGAAATCAAAGAAATAATCAATATATGGGTTTGGGAAGTCCCAACTTCTAAGAGCTCTTTACTTGGACAGCATCATTCTTGTGCATCAAATTCCTCCATAGGTACCTCCCACTGGCCATGTCAACAAATACCCAGAATCCATTCTGAATTAACTGAAACCAAATCAACAATTCTATTCATGATTAAAAAGAAAATCAAGAACTATGGTGAATTGTATAAAGAAAATGAAAATGTGGGCACCTTGATGAAATTGAAACGATCATTGTTGGAGGAGGATTTGTTGTGATCTCGAGTGGAGAAGTCAATCTCCGGGGTGGAACGCACGGTGGTCCAGGCAAAATAGGCAGCCAGGGCAGCGGAGAAAAAAACCAGGATGAACCTGAGAGGACACATGTCTTTCAAGGCAAAAAAAGAAAACTATTTTGCAGTAATATGAAGCCAGAAAGGTTGAGAGAGCCGAAGACAACCCAAGCCAGCAAGTAAAGAATCGACTATATCCAATGTGCATTGACCGAGTTGAGGTCTTTTTATATGACAGTCTCTATAATTTTATCAATGAATGAATTAGTAAAAAGGAGGAAAGGGGCGTCGCGTTGTCTATTACCATTTATCAAATTTGATTCTTTCCGTAGTGCATATTGGACCTAGTGCAACCTTGGAATAAAGAAGAAAAAAAATATAACAATGTACTAGTTCCGAAGGGAAATCTTCTTTTCTTTCTTTTTTTTTTACCAAAGGAAAATATTCTAGATCCTCCAAAGTTGACCAAATCTTAGTCATCCATCATTAATTATAGACACTGACGACACAACGCGCCTTTCCTCGCTTTTACTAATTCATTCATTTATAAAATTATAGAGATTGTCATATAAAAAGGATTTGACCTCAATACGCTCAAAGCATATTGGATATAGTCGATTCTTTACTTGCTGGCTTGGGTTGTCTTCGGCTCTCTCAACCTTTCTGGCTTCATATTACTGCAAAATAGTTTTCTTTTTTTGCCTTGAAAGACATGTGTCCTCTCAGGTTCATCCTGGTTTTTTTCTCCGCTGCCCTGGCTGCCTATTTTGCCTGGACCACCGTGCGTTCCACCCCGGAGATTGACTTCTCCACTCGAGATCACAACAAATCCTCCTCCAACAATGATCGTTTCAATTTCATCAAGGTGCCCACATTTTCATTTTCTTTATACAATTCACCATAGTTCTTGATTTTCTTTTTAATCATGCCCTAGGTCACTCGGTTTATGCCCGAATCCTATCTCGGCGTGAACCAGTCCGGCCCCAACCCATTTTTTTCAGCCTACCAAGCCTACTCGGCGAAAACCATGGTCCGTCAGCATGGAGAGCCTCGATATCAAAAACCTTATCTATAGCCCCCACGTTCATCAAATATTTTCTAGATTAGATGGTTAAGGAAATCCCTATATTCTCGGGGCCCAGGAGGCCCGTAAACAAGAAACTATAAAACTAAAAACCCTAGAGTTGAGAAGGCAGATTACACTTTTTGAATGCTCTGGCTTTGAGGTTCAACCTAGGACGAAACCCTAGCGCATCCCTTGGCCGGAACATTTTGGCGCCCACCGTGGGGCTACGGTAAAACTCTTCCTACGCCCCAAGAAACACAAAAAACCTACACTCTACCATGGTGAGAGGCGGCAATAACCACAACTCGCAACCACCAACCATGGAGGAGATGATGGCCATGATCAATGGCTTAAGGGAGGAGAATGTGCGATCCAGGGAGAGAGAAGAGGCCATCCAGCGTGAAAACGAGGAGATCAGGAGGCGAGCAGACGAGATGCAGGCCAGAATAGAAGCCAGTACCAGGACGGTGGAGGAGGATGTCATGTTGGAAGTCCTTAGGGATTTTCGGCCTTTCTCAGAAGCCATAGAGGCTAAGGCCATCCCCAGGGATCATCGCATACCCCAAATCGAGCCCTTTGATGGAACGCAGGATCCCAGTTAGCATCTGACGGATTTCCGAGCCCAAATGTTGATCTATGGGGGGGCATGGAAGTCCGCTGCAAGTTGTTCATGGGCACGCTCAAGAAGGCAGCGCTTGATTGGTTCAGTGGTCTTCCCGACCGATCAATCACTAACTTCGACGTCTTTAGCCGACTCTTCATGGCGCAATTCGCCGCTAACAAGAAGAAACCTCCGATTACGTCAGATTTGTTTGACCTCAAGCAGCAACGTGAGGAGTCTCTAAAGGACTTTCTACAAAGGTTTAACGAGGTCGCACTGAGGATAGCGTCGTTGGACGAGAGAATGGCAGTCATTGCATTCTAGAAGGGTTTAAGGTCCGGGGCTTTCGACATCGCGCTTGAAAAAGCGAACTGTCAAACGATGTCGGAGGTCAGGGCTTTCGCCTTGAGCCACATCAAGACGGAGGAAAACCAGATCATTAAAGGAGCAGCTGAAAGTCAAGAGGTCGGGAGCAGTAATAAGGAAGGCAACAAGCATTTACGGGTACGTTCAGACTGGAATAAGCGACGTAATCACTACGAGGCCAAGGAGGGAAATCACAGGCAGGCGGATTATGGTGGTCGGCCAAGGGGTGAATGGACACGGAGCAACGAACCGAAAAAATTCACCCCACTCAACGTTCCCAGGAGGCACATACTCCATGACGTTAACAACGCATCACTATTCGAGTTTCCGACGGCGACTGACCGCCAGTTGGGCCCTTACAAGACCGACTGGTGTGAGTTTCACCGCGCCCATGGACATACCACGGAGAATTGCTTCGTTCTCGGCAGGCAGATCGAGCGTCTTATCAAGGAAGGTCGTGATTTCGTTGTTGCAGAAACTTGTAATTCTTTCTCGTATTTTTCACCCCTAGTGCTTGTGACAGAAACCTGTAAATTCTTTTCTTTCTCTGCAATATTTGGTAGGTAAATGGGGAAGTAACTTGTACAATTCTAATAATTTTGGAAATTAATCAGTTTTCATTTTCAAAGCCTTGACTCATTCTCAAGACTTGTTCCCCTTCTCTGTTAACTACTACTGCACAATAGGTACAGGATGAAATTTGCATATGCCAACTCATCAACCGTTTATTCATCAGAAAATAACATTTATTTACATTTACCAGAATATATTAAAATGTACAAACACCATAATAAAGAACATAGTCAGATCTACATATTAGAAGAAATGCTAGTGGCAGCGCGGCAATATCTTTATATTAGGTCAGATTGTAGCTTAATTGACATGTAGAGAAGAGCTAATAGCGCACCTTGGGGAAGTGGTGCGTACCTTGCAAGGTAGGTGCCAACCCACATGGCCACCACAACTAGTGCAACTACGCTGCTACTTGTTTTCCCACAAACCCAACTTGCAAATGACAAGCACAGGGTTAGCAATATGCCTCCCCTCCCACCCAAAATCCATGCTATTGCATAGCCAATTTTGTAGCCGGAGTCTAACTTCTTATCAAACAAAGCCGTCAGACCACTAAATGTAAGTGAGAGTCGTGATCCAAATGTCTGAAACAAAAATAATGAGACGAATGCCGATCTAAGCACTTCAGTAAAGGAACCCCTTTCTTCATCTAAATTTCCTTCATCTTCTTCCTCGTCTGTTTCACTGGTATAGTAGTCCTCATTAACATTGGAATGCTCCCAGTATCTTTCATTATGCATTTTTCTCCTCAGGTGGGCCCACCTATAAACTCTTACCTGATCTTCAAATTCAGTGCTGTAACTCCATTTTTCCCTGTAAGGCTTGTCACCGAATTGAAGTTCTTGATCATACTGAACTCTCGTTGTTGCATTAGATAGTACCTGTTTAAAGGATATAAAGTAGATACTGTCAATGGATCTGTAAAGTGTTAGATAATCTTAAATTTTAGAGATATCCGAGTTAGTTATTCTGAACTGTTTATTTAGTCTGTTGAGTTATTTGTTTCATTTTAGATAAGATAGTTTTTGATAAGATTTGTTTTGATAAGATATTTTGTTATCGTCTTGTTAATTCGGTACGTTGTACAATGACTATTTAAAGGTCATCTCTTATTCAATAAAAGTGACAGTGAGTTGCTACGTTCACACAATTTTTAGTATTACTCGTCTCTTATTTTCTACAAATTGATATCAGAGCTTTATGCTCTGAGTGCCGAGTGTGAGAGGAAAACAGTGTGCACCTGTGTGTGTTTTAAAAAAAAAAAGGAGAGAGTAATGGCGAAGGTTGTTAATGGAATGACCGTACCACAACTGTCAAAGAAAACCAATTATGATAATTAGTGTTTACAGATGAAGACCCTGTTAGGTTCCCAAAGTCTATGGGACATAGTGGAGAAGGGGTTCCAAGAACCCGAGGAGGACGAAGACCAATCTGTGGCTGAGATTGCCACATTGGAAAAGACACGAGTAAAGGACAAATCGGCTTTGTATTTTCTGTACAATGCCGTGGATGAATCAGGTTTCGAGAAGATTGCAAACGCTGCGTCTTCAAAGGAAGCATGGAAGATCTTGGAGGTTGCGCACAAAGGTAACCACCGTGTTAGACAGATTCGACTTCAAACTCTTCGAGGAGAGTTTGAGTGTTTGAAGATGGAGGATAAGGAACGAGTATCCGAGTACATAACTCAGGTGGAGAAGTTGGCTAACCAACTCGGAAGGAATGGAGAGCCAATGTCAGCAAGTAGAATTGTGGAGAAAATCTTGAGATCACTAACAGATGATTTCGAGAGTATTGCATGCGTAATTGAGGAGTCAAAGGACTTGTCAATTCTCTCAGTGGAAGAGCTCGCTGGGTCACTCGAAGCCCACGAACAAAGGAGGAGGAAGATGAAGGATACTCTTGATCAAGCATTACAGGCGCAACTTGATTTGAATGAAACTCGGAACACTCAGGGCCGAAGATCAGGAGGACAAGGACGAGGTGATCATGGAGGACGAGGCAAAGGACGAGGTGATCATGGAGGTGATCAAGGACGAGGTCGAGGACGAGGTGACCATGGAGGTGGACAAGGACGAGGTGATCGTAGCCAAGGAAGTCAGCCAAGGTCCGAGGTGGAATGTTATAAGTGTGGCAAACTCGGCCACTACGCAAAGGAATGCAGATCGGCAAATTGCTACAACTGTGGCAAATACAGTCACATAGCAAAGTATTGCCGAGTTAAAAGCCGAAGTGAAAAGAAAGAGAAGAATCTTCTCACAGAAGAAGAGGACGAGGAAGCAGGAATTTTGATGATGACGCAGAGCTCGGAGACCAAGCTACGTTCGAGTTGTGCCTCCGAAGTTGAGCTAAACTTGAGTTGCATGGAGAGATTAGCAGTTGAGCTTCCAAGCTCAGATGAGAAGTCAGAGGCCGAGCTTGATTCGGGTTGCTTAAACAACTCGATCTAGTATTTGGACACTGGAGCGAGCAATCATATGTGTAGAGAAGAAAGTTTCTTCAACGAACTCATCAAGGTGAAGGCTGGATTCGTGTCATTTGGGGATGATTCCAAGGTGGCGGTAAAAGGGCATGGAACCATCAAGCATATGCAGAAGGATGGACGAGTTGGAGAAATAAGGAATGTCTACTACGTTCCCGAACTTAAGAGCAACATCTTAAGCATGGGGCAGATGATGGAGAAAGGCAACTCGGTTCTGATGAAGGATCGAGTGCTTTATTTGAAGGACAAGCATGATCGTTTAATAGCCCGAGTGGAGATGAAAAAGAATCGGATGTATAAACTGGAGCTGAACATCCTTCAAAATAAGTGCTTGAAGCTGGACGTGAAGGATGAAGCCATGATGTGGCATTTTCGTTTTGGGCATTTAAACTTTGGAGGCTTGGCCGAGCTATCAAGGAAGGAGTTAGTGCTCGGACTACGTGGTGTTGAGTTTGACAAGAAGTTTTGTGAAGCGTGTGTACTTGGAAAACATTCAAGAACAAGTTTTCCGAGCTCGTCCAAGTACAAAGAAAAGGAGCAACTTGGCCTGATACACACTGACTTGTGTGGACCAATCTCTCCTGCATCCTTCAGTGGTAAGAAATATTTCATCTCTTTCATAGATGATTTCTCTCGAAAGACCTGGGTATATTTCTTGCAAGAAAAATCAAAGGCATTTGAAGCTTTTAAAAAGTTTAAAGTCATGGTGGAGAAAGAGACTAACAAGCAAATTAAAGCTTTGAGGTCGGACAGAGGTGGAGAATTCACATCGGCAGAGTTTATGGAATACTGTGAAGAGCAAGGTATAAAACGTTTTCTCACAGCTCCATATTCACCACAACAAAATGGAGTAGCTGAAAGAAAGAATCGGACTATTCTTGATATGGTCCGAGCTATGCTTAAAGGGAAGAATATGCCTGAGAAGTTTTGGGCAGAGGCAGTGCAGTGTGCTATATATATACAGAACAGGTGCCCACATTCAAAATTGGATGATGTGACACCTCAAGAAGCATGGAGTGGACAAAAACCGAGTATACATCACTTCAAGATCTTCGGAAGCCTTGCTTACGGTCATGTTCCAACTCAGCTCAGAACGAAGCTTGATGATAGGAGCAAGAAGTATATTTTGATCGGGTATGATGAAAAGGCAAAAGCCTACAAATTGTACAACCCTGTTACAGGAAAAATTCTGGTAAGTCGAGATGTCCAGGTAGATGAGGAAAGTGAGTGGAACTGGAGTAACTCTGAAAAGACTTCGAGGAGCTCGAACTTTGAGAGGGAGAGCTTGGAGATAATAGGGAGAAGCTCAGATAGGACCAATGAGCATTCCGAGGAAGATGATGAACCTGAGCAGCTTAGAACTCGGAGGTTGCAAGACATCTACAACTCCACTGACGAGTTACATGTAGTATGTCTATTGACAGGAACAGAAGATATAAAATTTGAAAAGGCCGTACTTGATGAGAGATGGATGAAAGCAATGGATGAAGAGTTTAAAGAAGTAATGAAGAGGGAGTTTGAGATGACCGACTTAGGCATCATGGGTTTAGAGGTGGAGCAAAACACAACAGGTATTTTTGTGTCCCAGAAGAGGTATGCCGAGGAGATTTTGAGCAAGGCAAAGATGCTGAATTGCAATCCAGTTTCTACTCCCATGGAACCTGGAACGAAGTTATCTAAAAATGGAGAAACAGAAAGAGTTGATGCAAGCAGGTACCGAAGCCTAATCGGAAGTCTAAGGTATTTGATAAGTACAAGGCCCGACCTGATGCTAAGTGTGGGAATTGCAAGCCGCTTTATGGAGAATCCGAGGTATTCTCATTGGAAAGCATTAAAGAGGATACTAAGGTATGTGAAAGAGATGATGTCACTTGGACTGTGTTTCACTAAGTCAGACAACTACCGACTTATTGGATACTCGGACAGTGATTGGTGTGGAGATGTGGATGATCGGAAAAGCACAGCTGGGTACGTATTCTTCATGGGAAACACGGCTTTCACTTGGCTATCAAAGAAACAACCAATCGTAGCTCTATCAACGTGTGAAGCCGAGTATGTAGCAGCATCTTGGAGTGTCCAACATGCAGTTTGGCTTAGAAACTTGCTAAGCAAACTGGAGATTATGAAAGCTGAGAAAGTATTGATCCGAGTAGATAACAGGTCGGCAATCGAGTTAGCCAAAAATCCAATCAATCACGAAAGAAGTAAGCACATCGACGTCCGATTTCATTTCATCAGGGAGAAGGTGAAAGAAGGAAGCGTGGAGCTCGAACACGTAGGAAGTAAAGAGCAAGTAGCTGATATCTTTACAAAACCATTGCCTGCAACAACATTTCAGGAGTTAAGGAAGTTACTCGGAATGAAAGAAGGAGAAATTTAAGCTTATGGGGGAGTTTTGTTAGATAATCTTAAATTTTAGAGATATCCGAGTTAGTTATTCTGAACTGTTTATTTAGTCTGTTGAGTTATTTGTTTCATTTTAGATAAGATAGTTTTTGATAAGATTTGTTTTGATAAGATATTTTGTTATCGTCTTGTTAATTCGATACGTTGTACAATGGCTATTTAAAGGTCATCTCTTATTCAATAAAAGTGACAGTGAGTTGCTACGTTCACACAATTTTTAGTATTACTCGTCTCTTATTTTCTACATAAAGTACATGTGTTCCAAACAACATGAAAAATGGTAAAGTGGCTAGCTTATCGAAACCTGTGAAAGGTTAATAGCTGAAAATGAAACATTAAGTACTGACTTTAAGGTGCAAACCGTGTTAGTGTTTCATATATGATTTCATAATTTCTGTTTTCAAAAACCATTAACTAAATATCAATTAGTTACATTCTGTTATTTTTTCTTAGTCTCTACCAAAGATCATTGTTGTTGAACCAGCAGAACTGCAAAGTAACAATAGGATAGGATCCCATTAAAAAATGTAAAACTTTTCCTTACCCATAAAAAATGAAATAAAATCCCTGTTAAGAGGCAATTATTTCTATATATCAAGAAAGTTGATAACGGTTACTCACCTCATATGCATGATGGATTGTCTTGAATAATTCCGCAGCATGTGGATCCTTGCTAACATCAGGATGATACTGCACTCCCAACAAATTAGCAGACAAGATGAAATGAGAAAGTAGCATTTACAGACTCAGGTTCCAAATATAGTATCTCCTTTACAGTAGCATTTACAAATTCAAATTCTCCAAAAGAAATAAGTGTCAGCTAAACTATCATTACTGTTTAACAAAACTCCACAGATGCATTTGCCAGAACGATAATTAACAATGACCAAGGGACATATCTAGTAAGGGCGCAAGATATGAGAGGAGTAGATATTGATCATATAACCATATATTGATTGTCAAGATTGTTTTAATTAATTTTAATCTTAACCATTCATTTCAATTATACAGTGGAGATTCGCTAGTCTCATAATAAGAACTTTGAGAAAATCACACCACAAAAGCTAGTTTTGTAGTTGGGTAGCTCAAGCCTTATAAACCCCACCATGCTCTGCAACCCTGCTGTCCCCAAACGTGCTGATTGTGCACTAGCCCTAGGTAAAGACTGTAATGCCTATCGGCCTCACCACCCACACTACTTGTTTGTAGCTGAGGAACATGGTAGAAGGCTCTAATACTAATTGAAAAGAACCTTGGAAAAGTCACACCACAAAAACTAGCTATTATAGTTGGAGAGCTCATGGCCTTTTATGAACCCCACATTAAAATCCCATGCTAATATGGGACTCAAGTCTTGCAATGGGAACCTAACATAAGACTTCCACAATGACCATGCCTAAGAAATCCATTTCGAATAAACCATCATTTCATCCATGAAGTATTACCCTCTCTCCTAAATGATCCCTGAAATAAAAACAATAATAATAAAAAAATAAAAATAAAATAAAAACTATATAGGTAATCTCCCAAGTATCATAAATCATGATTAGTCTCTCAAATATTGAAAAACTCTAAAAATTGATCCTTGAACATTAGTTGAATCTATCAACTTAAGGACTAAACTTACAGATATTCAACACTTAAGGGGATTATCCATATAGTTTTATTACTTTAGGGACCACTCAGGAGAGAAAATAATACTTGGGGCACCAAATTGGAGGTTTATTCGATCCACTTCTATCTTACACACCCAATCCAATGGGCACAAGAAAAATAATTCCGGAAACAGTCAATACTACCTCTAGTCTTATATGTAAGAAACAAATGTGCATCATTTTGATCCTAATTATAAGAAACAGGTCTCTTCTTACATGTATTAGTTGTTAATTTTCTTTGATACCGCTAATTTATCATGAGTCTATTAATAAGTGATACACTCATTTTCCACATAAGTAAATGTATTTATTGAATTACTAACTATATAAGTCATTCTCATTGATGATAAAATTATCCTTCTTACTACTCACACCATTTTAATTCTATATGTATATTTGGAATAAAATTTCAAAATTGTGACATTATTAATTCTAGGCATTTGTTTCCTGTGCACAAACCGGAGGTAGTAACTTTAACAATTACAAAATAGAAACACCACAGAAAACTAACAGCCAAAATTCAAATAAATTCGCCGGTCCTAAACTTTTAGGTTTTGGTTTCGGTTTCAAATTGGGAATCAATCATCACAGCTCGTAGCATACTACAACGCAGAACGAAACATCAACCATGCAATGTATTCATTCGAAATCGAAGATACAATACCTTGCGGGCGAGGAGGCGATAGGCGCGTTTGATATCAACGGCGGAGGCAGTGCGGGCGACGCCGAGGACGGCGTAGTGGTTCGGCCCGCCGTTGATGGCCGCGGGCGTTGAGGAGGCGACGACGAGTGGGGACCGCCGGCGGGGAGGGTTGGTCCAGGCGGAGTGGAAAGGGCTGGAATCGGCGGCGCCACCATAGCGGCCGACGGAGATGGGTCCCACCAGAAAGTGGGATTGCATTGCGTTGTGAGAGTGGAACTGTTAAGTGTTTTAGTCATAACATAACGCCGTTATATTAGTTTAGAGGTTGTGGTGGTCACTGGTCACTACAAGCTTTATGTTGTGTCCGCTTTTTTTTCTTTCTTTTCTTTCTCTTTTGTTTTGTGTGTACATAAATTTGAATAAGGTTTTAGAATATTACGAGCATTATGCGAATATATAAAATGTATGTTCAAGACGTATTTTGTTTGTGATGAAGAAAATAAATTTAAAGTACTAATTTGTAAAAAAAAGTTTGCATTGTATTTTAATGTTAACTGAAATTTTGGTTATTAATTAAAAATTATGCATAATTTTATTTTTTATTATTAAATAATATTTCAACATGTGTATTAATAAGATAAATGTTTACTTTTATACAATTAAAATTCATAACAAATAATATTTTTAAATATATAAATTATATTATGAATAGAATTTATAATAAAAAATATAAATATATATAATAATTTATCGTTTGATTCTATCTTTCCATTATTATTTTAAAAAATGATTATAATTTATTTTTAATTTTGTTATGATTCGATAGGTCATACATTAATAAACAACATAATGTAATAGATAAATTTTTTTTCTAGGTTTTTCATGCAAAACATAATTTGGACAAGTGCATATATAATAAGTATATAGTTGAAATATCAATGATCAACCAAAACACTTAAAGCAATCATTAGTCATCAACAGCAAAAAAATTTCCATATAAACGTTCCAAAATATACAAATATAAATACATCCAAATCTAGAAATCAAAAACCTAGGTCAACTTATACAGCTAATAAAAGGCCGAGAGACCAACAGCTTAAGTTCTAAGTCATTCTTATACAGTCCACTAGTAGCTCTCGACCACCTCCTCAAGCTAAACATGGTTTATTCCCATGTCACATACATAATCTTCATGGTCAACACAAAAACAAGGTAAGTTTAATATAAAAAAGCATCATATATAATGACAATACACTACAACATGAATATAAATATTCACATAACATTAAGCCTCAAAGCTCACAACATCCACATCATCTCACCAACATATACCACGTGCACAACCACCCCACAACATCATATGCAAATGCATACAAACACCATATCAATGTATCAAATCTCAATATATGTTATCATGCATTAATAATATTAAGTACATCATGTAATGAGTAATTTACTTGACTCCACTCTATTAAATCATAAAAATCTTAATTACTTAGATATTGTCAACATAAACTATGAAAGTTCAATATCACCATCAAATATAGTACAACTTGAGTATGAGTCTATTGTGATATTAGTTTGCAAAACCAAACCCTTAATGGATTTAACTAGCCCTATCCTCAATATACCACACATTTTTCCACGATTAGGTCGAGGTCTACCCCAATGACCATCCATGACTTTCATACCAATTTAAAATTTGTGTTCTTTTTTACCTAATACAACCATTTATGACAAGTATGAAACATTCACTTCATACTATTCTCATAATATGTTTAAAGGATAACATTTTCTTTTAGAGAAACATGTTCACAACTTATACCACAAAACTTTAGGCTTCTAATGATTCAATCATATGTATTCACATTGAAGAACTCAACAAAACACTTCACTAGGGAGATACAACATTGTCCTTCAAACTATTTTGAAATCATTTTCAAAACATCGTGGACAAGGAGTTTTCCTTCCCCACATCCACCCTCAACAACAAGTGAAATACACAACACAGTCACTCATGGCCCACATCCTATCAACAAGACAACATAAATCATGCAACAAAACATGATAACAATCAACAATATATCTACCACAAATAGCACTTCATACGTTTGTTTACACGAGACTTAAGGAATAAGCCTTATGTTCCTAACTAACCATTTATGCTAGTTGGAACCCGTCACTTATCCCTCTAAGATAAGCACAACACATGCCTACACATAGGACATCATCTCGCACCCCTCCCTAGCTTCTAAGGCTATAAGGGGCACACCATCACAACACTAGATTACTATCTAGCAAAACAAGTGTTTCATTAAGCAAGCTACTCTCTTGCTGGGTGAAAACCATTACAAGGAGAGGAATTTACTTAACGAACACCTCTTACATAGCACCCCTCATCGTCCCAACAAGGTAGGGATTACAACTCGCTAAGCCACCCCCTTTGGTTGAGCAAGAATCCTTAACTTTCCCAACTTAGAAGCATAAATTTTCTTAGTGACTACCCTCTTTGAGCAAATGAAAAAGGACCCAAACATAAAGACAAAAAACTATTGAGCGAATTTAACTTGTTAAGCAACTTATATTTTTGGTTTTAACCTGAGACCAAAATTTACTAAGCAACCCAATATCATTTAGAGATTTAACATGGCCACCCACTAGGGGCCAAATGTCACTGAGCAAGTATCCCTTGCTGAAGGACGAGGTAGGTTTCTTATTTAGGAGGGGCAAATAATAAAACATACAAAAAATACTAAATATTTTTTAAATATATAAAATTATAAATATTAATAATTAGTTTTACACTTTTACATGATAAAAATATGAATTTATAATAAAAATTAATATTCTGTTAATCATAGTTTTAACATAAAAACCTATTTATTATATTCTAAAATTTCAACCTTAAATCACCTCTTGGTCCTAAGTTTTACTCATGTGCAATTTTAGTTTCTAATTTTTTTATTACAGATCCTTGTCATTTTTAAAATTAAATAATATTGATTTAAATCATTATAAATTAGGAAATATGTCGTTTATGAACAATATTCCTTGTCTATAAAAGTGTAAATTTTGACAAACATTATGACATATTATTTGCTTTGCTCTCTCTATGTTAATATGATAATGTGTGGACTTATGCACTTGAAACTAGAATCACAATGGAGTCTCATAGAAAAACGCAAGAAAACGAAGAAGGAGAAGAAAAAAAAAAGGAAAAGAAAGATTAAAAAATGAAAATTATATGTATACACACAAGAAAAATAGTGAGAGAAAATAAAATATTTGTTTGTATTTTAAAGTTTAAATAGTCAATCCCTTATATAGTGATAGTGAGTTTACCCATTAGTAAATATTAATAATAATAATCACTTTTCTCAAATCAATATAAAAGGAAGACTAATAAATTAAGTGATTTGACTAGTAATGCAATAATTTATGATCTTTAAATTAATAACATATTATTTTAAAAAATTAATGATAATTGTTACATATTTGACAAATACACTAATTATCATAAATAATAAATTGAACAAAAGTTTAAGTTAATGAATTTACAAAGACTTGAATTATAATCATTTAATTTAATTTTGGTACTAACTAGATAAATTAAAAAGTTTAAATTGTTTGGAGTAACGCATAAAATTTTATAAAATCGTGAATGTATAAATTAATAAAGAATTTAAATTTAGATAATACGAGCAGAGATTGATTTGACTAATATTTTTCATGTAAATCCTCTAAAATCTTCATTCAATTTTAGAAATTATACAGTTAATTCAATAGTCCACAATTATATTTAAACCAGAATTCTTTAGGCAAAAAATTCTAAATTAATTAAGAAAAATCTCAATTTCTTAATAATTTTTTATAAACAACTTGCCTTAAAGTTAGGGACCTAAAAATTGTATGGTAAAGATTTTCGGTGTTTTACATAGATCATAATTCTAAAAAAGTTTTCTAACCTCAAATAAAATTATTAAAGCATGTAATGGTTGATTAGGCCACAACAAACATTAAATATAAAATAAAAATGATTAACTGAATAAAGATAATGTATTGAATGAGAACAAGGATAATTACATGAGTACTATAGTTGTGTCAATCTCCAACAATGGTTATGTGGCCGCTCAAGGCTAAAAGATTACACACAAAAGAAGGGATCTTCAAGTGATTTGTGATTATAGAATTGCTCACAAGTTAATAATTCTCCCTAATCCCTCAAAACTTATGATCGTAAGAGCTTAGATCCTCAAGATACTCTAAAAACTCCAATATTTTAAATGAGCTAATGTTCGTGCATGGATGCTTAGAGCATCCATATGGTTCCCTTAAGCGAGCTATTTGATCCTTCCAAAGGTAGTCTCTGTAACGCCTAATCGTATTAATATGAATCTCAATAATATACGTATATATATATATATATATATATATATATATAATATTTATAGATGGAAAACACATGCATATTAATAATATTATACATAATAGCATACTAAAAATATTTACCACTACGTGCGTGGTTACTTACTTTTACATATATATTACATATTATTAAAAATATTTACAATACGTGCCTATTTACATACCATAGTTTCTTTTTCTACTTCTATTATAATATTTACATGGGTGGTTGAAACAAATTTACAATTGGATTCACATGGTTAGCGGGCAGTAAAAAGAAAGTGATTATTATGGGACCGTCGATCACTGTAGGGACTTCTTGGTTTGGAGAGAAGGTAAAAGTCGACACTGTCACTCCATTAAATGTGATTGCGTTTGCTACCGCATCTACACTCCATGTAATTCCAGAAAATACTGCAGATATCACTGAGGGAAAAGGTCCTGGAATGTTGGGCACATCCATCTATATATATATATATTTATTTATTTATTTTATATATATATAAATTAATACAAATTTTAAACAAGAAATATAAGGAGTGAGAATAATTTTCAAAGAAATATTTATAATCACAGAGCATGCGTAACAATAGTTAATATTAGAAAATATATATAAAAATTTGAATTATACTTGCAGTGACTAGTCAGGATAAATGAGCATTACAATATCAACCAACAAAAGAATTTTTAATCTTAACTCCTTACTCATTTAAATCCCCAAGGTTAAACCTCCAACTACAAATAATTCAAATTTTATCTTCTATGGCCATAGAATAATATTTATCTTTAAAACAAGTCAAAGATATTTTAATTATATTATAGTCAATCATGAAAACAATCACACTAAATAAATTGGAGTATTTATCATTATTTAAGTTTTAAATAAATAACATATACGTAAATGAAATATATTAAGAGCATCAATCAAGTAAATGAC